GAACTGATAAGGAATTAGTGGATGGGTCACGCAGCTGCCGTCGCAAAATTTTTAGTCTGTTGTGAAGAAAATGAGGAACAGGGGAATCCGAAGAATAAGGCTTGAGATATATACGCCGCACAAACTCTAGGTCGCCCTTGAAAACATTGGATATGACGTCACGAAGAATGGTTGCATCGCTACAAGTGAGGAAGCCACACCAATCCAAGGATCTCATATAGTTATTTATTAAGTCGCTATCTACGCAGTCGTAGTTCATGTAATTCCGAACGGCGCTGGCCTTTTTTAAAAAGCCAAGCGGTAAGCAACAATGAATTAATACGTGGTCACTGTCAAAGAGGTCCTTTTTAAAAGCAACAGAAAGAGTAACAATGTCATTGGTAAAGATTAGATCTAAAATGTGATTATCTCTTGTTGGAGAGCGCACCAATTGGGACCAGTTAGAAAAATTGACAATATCTTGAAAGGGCTGGAATCTGGTTGGACAGATATTGGAAACCCAGTCTATTTCAGGAAGGTTAAAATCCCCAGTGATTATTTTAACATCGAAAGTTGCTTCCGAAATTAATTTAATGATTTCGCAGAGTTGCGACTCATCGCTGGCTAAAGAATTTGGGGGATTGTAGATACAGCCAATAATTGCCTTTCTTTGCGGCGAGAGAATAACAGATGCAAAGCAGAAGTTTCCCGTGAATGAGGAAACATCCAACTAATAGGAGGAGTGCTTTAGGTAGGATTAAAGATAAAGAAGATAACCGCCCCCACGCCTAGTCCTGCGGTCTTGACGGTAAAAATCGAAGTCATCTATGAGAAGGGCAGAGTCAGGAATTAGAGACTGGGTCCAATATTATGTTACACATATTATATCAGGTGTTATTTTGAGAGTAATGGCTCTGATTTGGGCATCTTGTTTATAACAGACCTGGCATTCAATAATATAATATCTAATGTGTTTCGAACGGCAATGCTATTGTCGACGGTATTTTAAAAAAAATTGGAGGCGGATATGTAAGCTGTGAATTAATGACACTTGGAGAATAAGTACCAGTAAGTGGAGTTCCCCAGGGCTCTATACTTGTACCAGCACTGTTTTTACTTTATGTCAAGGACTGTATGAATAGACTGGACTGCAATGGAGTTATGGTTGCTGATGACATCAAGTTATGGCGAGCGATCAACGGGGAAATTGATGAACGGACCCTGCATGAAGGACTGATCCGCCTATGCGAATGGTCTGACAAATGGCTGCTGAAGTTTAACCGTGCGAAGTGCGTCGCGCTGCGACCAAAACGAGTCGAAGAGCTGATGTAGAGGATCATCTTTACCTGCTTGGGGGAAGGTGTCTTTCAAATGTGACAGAGCAAAAAGATCTTGGGTTCAATATTTTGTCGACTCTTAAGCCTTCCTCTCAGTGCGTTAGGGAGGCCAAAAGGGCAATCACTGTTCTCTTGGCAATTAAACGAACTTTCGTAGACGTAGACAAAGAGATACTTGGAAAAGTATACAAAGCGTTCATTCGTCCGCATCTGGAATATGAAATTCAAGCGTGGCACCCGTAGCTAAAAAAGACTATAAGTTGCTAGAAAGAATGCAGAGTAGAGCGACAAAAAATGTGAAAGGCCTCAGGACTTTACCTTATAACTGCAGACTTAGTGAACATTAACTATTTAATCTTGAGAACGGGCAGATTCGAGGAGATCTCATACAGTCATATCGGATACTGAGGAAACGAGACTGTGCCCTGAGCCACAACCATTTCTTCACCCTGGCTCCAACAACAAACCTGAATGGGAACTCTCAAATACTAAGGGGATCCCGTTGCCGCCTGGACGTTCGCAGATACTCTTTTTCACAGCGAGTCGTCGGTGCCTGGAACGGGCTTCCCGAGGACGTAATAATGGCGAATACCACGGAGGTATTCAAGCAAGGACTAGATGTATGTTTGCTTGGAAAATACCGCTTGTCTGGACAAAACAGGTCTGTGGGGCCAAACCAACGCTAATGCGGATGACAGTCATTTCATTTTGCCGATATCATCTACAGCTGAAGGTTCTCGAGTTTCGGCCCTGCATTTTCAAAGAAAAATATAATGGTAAGTGTATATGTTGCTGACAACATTTTAATACCATGTTTATTTAAAGTTTGAGATTACATGTACCTTCTACAATAGGGTATTCAAAGGCATTGCCTATTACAATGGTAGGGGGCGCTAACCGATCGTTCTTACGGAACTCACTCGTTCTGTTGTGCCTTACGGGCTCTCTCTCGAGCCCAACCAGCAGCCGCACAGTGGTGCAAGCTATAGGCAGAACCGTATTACCGACAAAGACAAAGGAGACTTGTCTTGTCTTTGTCGGTAATACGATACTGCCTATTATCCTTCAGATATACTGACCTACTGACCTATCTTTTCACTTTCCCGGTGATCTCTAGATCTGGGCAATATGGTTTGGTGCAATCAAGCGACAGCTGAATATTAAAAAACCGATGCTCCTTTTAGTGGTGACTCATCAGCGGCATAATCTATACTGTCCCGTAAAAACTTCGCGATTCCTTACCCCTTCATCCATTTTGGTACATGCGGATAAGTTAAAAGCCTTCCAGCATGCCATTTAGATAGGTTGGAAATGGGCCTTGGTCATTTTATCCCGCTCATTCTCTTGAAGAAACTGCCCATTACTTTACAGCATTATCGCACCATTTGGTTTTCTTCGATCACCGGAAATTGTTTGTTAGTCCTTCCATCTGATAACTGTTGCCGGATATTATTTTCATGAAGTACACAGTCCTCTGTACGATTTAGACTTCACAGATGTTTGGTGAATCTTAATACGGGCGCGTTTGCCTTAAATATCCCCGGGTGATCCCAAATAACTTAGCGTTCCAATTTTACGATTTGGCTGTCTACTATTTTCAGGCTTATTTCACACTTGATTTGACGTTTCAACAGTCCTGTCACCAGATTCCTCATTTCCTCCGATTGATCGGCGAGTAATTCCGCTGAAAAACACTCCCCGATGGTTATCTTTTAGGCTGAGCTTACGGGACAAAATGAGATCTCTATGTTGCTTGCCTCTCAGCGCATTTTCCAGCGGTCCCCGTCGCACCCCCTCTGCTTTGTTTTCAGGTAAAAGCCCCAAATGGAAGACTATTCGGATTCCGAACATCTCGTCAGGCTCTTGGGTCTTATTCAGTAAATTATTAATGTCAGGAGAATGCTTTTGCACTCTCATTTGGTGTTTTTCCAGGAGCCTCAGAAACTGCCTGGACTACCACACACTGTGATGTTTGAGGGAAAAAATATGAACGAATCCAGTTCCCTTTTATTGAAGGGGCTGAGGAACAGAATCTAGAGCTAACTTTATGGCTTTATTCCCATAAATTGACTACTGTGAGCTTGGTATTTGGCTCTCGGGCGCCCTTTTAGACCTTTTACACAGACTCATTTCTTCGAACACTGATTTTTCGATCGGCTTTCGTCAAGCACTTTTTTGATTTATGACGTCCATATTGTGACGAACCCCCTCACGCCTTCCCTCCGCTGTTTCATATAACCTGTTTTATCATGATCTGCATTTTACCTCGCCAATCCGGCATTCGGGATTGACAGATATACATACAGCATGTCACCAACATTTTTAATGTGATTAGCGGGTTCTTCCGACCGCGCATTGCGGATTTTCTAAGGATGACTCATCGCAACTGGGCTCTGTAAACTGCAGTTTCGGGCAAGTTGCGTAAGACCTCGACTCTGTCATGTCGCCATCTGAGTTGCTGTTGTTTTTAACTTGTATTTAAAAAGAGCTAGATGATTATTCTAACGATTTAGTTTTTTCTTCTTTTTGGCTTCATTTGCTCTCCATCTATGTTGTCAGTTTCCTTGGTATATATGTGATAAAGTTCATAGACTATTTCGAGATACTTTTCGACGTGTCCTGCTGATAAAATTTGATAATGCCTGGTAAGTATTGCAAGTATTTCTATAGTGATAGCTCGGCTTTTCTCTAATCGTAAGACTTTGCAGGTGAGTTCAGGCCATTCAAAAAGCGTGTCTGAACCTCGTTCTTTAACTCAGTTCTGCTAAATTTTGGTAGCGTACAGCGAAATTCCGGGATGATTGGTGGTGGTCCGTCGCGCCCCAATAGAAGAAATATGTTGTTTCGGGCAAGTGTTTGTCGAAGGAAATATAACAGGTTAAAAAAATTAATACAGATAATTATTTTCGGAGTGCGAAATATATTTTGGTGTCTATCTGTGCAGGCACGGTCGAATGGTATGGAGAGCTGGCCGACCACCGCGCTCATTTGTTCTCATGCGCACTAGGATAGCGGACATTTACACTTCCAACATCAAACTAACCACTCTGAGATTGCGCTAAATTAATCGATCTGCAGCTCTAACTTGCGAATTACAGGATTACTAGGTGAAAATAAAAGTTCTTTCCCGAATGGAATACAATACGTTGTCTTAATTCGAGACAGTGAGCGACTTTGCCCAGAGATATTGTTTGCTAGGATGTCTGTGCAGTTTGCTGCATGAGATCTCTTTGCTGGCGAAAGATTACTCTGGCGATCAACGCCGAAGTTATTCTCAATGGGGATTCGTTGTTGTCGGGGTCATCTGCTCCGTCAGGTTGTCGGTTATAATCTCGTGCGGGACGCAATGGAGGACGAAGTTAGGGCTCATAGTATGACCTGCAGACCGTTACTTAGGGCAGAAAACAATGGCTGCAATATCAAAACATTCGAAGACATTCGATTTAAAATCGAATTAAGACCGCGTGCTTTCATACCCGCCTTAGTCCAACGATTAGCTGGTTACTTCCCCCAAATTCCGATTAAGATCTGTGAATGGAATAAACTTCTCTGTCGCATTTTATATTATTTTGCAGATTTTTATATAATACTGTGTGTTGTATCCCCCAGTTGCTCTTGTTTTAACGGTCAAAAGAAAGACATAAAAGTGACCCTCGAAGCCTTACCGTTTCGAAAGACCTACAAATGGATGTGGCTGAGATTGTCAAACAGTCGGACCAACTGCACGAGAACGTAAAGCTCATAGAGGACTATGACCTGCTAAAGCCTTATGTTGAAACTGGTGGTTTGGAAATCCAGTATCGCTTTGCACGAGCTTGCCGTTCGAGAAGTAAGTCTTTCATTTACTTCAAGGGGAAATGATGCAGTTCTGAATGACGCGAAAAATGACAAACACAAAATAAAAGAGCTGACCGAGGAAGGCTTAAAAGCGGCAGAGCTCGCTGTCGCGTCAAATGACAAGTCCCCAACTGCTCATATGGTTGTGAATATTGCGCTCGTCTGAAACGTTGATTTAGTGGCTAGGCATTTTCTACGACTTAGAGGGCCAACTTTCAGGAATAAATAAGAGGATAGAGAATGCATACAAAGTCAGAGATGAATTTCAGGCACGTTTCCACATAATGTGTTATTTTTTTAGAAAGCCCTTGACCTTGGTCCTTCAGACGCTGATCCATATCATTGCATGGGTGTCTGGTAAGAAATGGCGGATTACTAAGCCTTTCGAAGGTGTCACGAAGTGGCCAGTTTAGGAAAACTTGAAAGAGCATTCGCGTCAGCTTTCTTTAAGAAGCCCCCGGAGTCGTCGTACGAAGAAGTAAGATCATATGTCATTGGAATCCGATTGTTATAGGCAGTGAAATTCCTGTTGAAGTCAACTGAATGTAAGTCATAGTGTAAAATTATGTCTTGCTTTAGTATCTCCAAATAAACTCATCGATACTTATGCGAGACTGGCGGAGTGCTATGAGAAACTGAAGGAGAAGGACAAAGCGAAGATATATGCAGATATCGTATTAAATTGGAAACGAGAAGATGACGAAGCCAAAGAAGTAAGTTTTCCCTTAATACATACTAAGATTTGCAGATAAAAAAGAGAGTTTCGAAACTCCGATAAACTTGGCCTGGAGTGCTTCGACTTTATTTATAAGTCGATGGAAGCAACAGCTCAAAGCCAAATGAAATAATTAATGCTTTATTTTATGTTCAAATATTACTGAAGTGAGCGACAGTATTCGAATAAACTGTCTTATGATGATCATGCCAACTTCTTACGTTTAGCGTGCCTGTTAAAAGTATATCAACACATGCACTGCAAACGATTTAATCGAGCTCTGTAACTTGTGAGGGGCATAAGGAATAACATGGTCTCGGTTCAACAAATGTACTGCACAACTCTAGCAATCTTGATCCGGTGGGAGCGGATAGCGCGGACGATCGCGCATTTGGTGTCCAAGAGTTTAAGATGTACATCATGGGTATTTCGCGCAGTCACTTTTATTTACGTCACTGAAACACATAAACAAGTAATATTTTGGAAACTTGAACGTTTACGTAATGCCAGGGAGGCTCGTCCGTTTCCCCGTGGGGTTCCACTTGAATGCTCATAGTTAGGACCTGAGAGTGAATTTGACGGGTCGGTTAACAACAAGACTTAGGTATGAAAGTGTTTCTGATAGGTACCAAATAACTGCAGTTGGATTTTCAACTGTATGAGGTTAAAGACGTCAATAGTGACTGATTTTCAGATAAAACGTCTGAGACCGATCGGTTTTGTTAATTCTTTACCAGGCCACTGTTATTGAGTACACAATAGATTTTCTAGTGACGTGATGATTGGCCAGGTAATATCGTCATTATTCGACGTAGGTGCATAAAAGTTCATAGACAGGGTTCGGTAGACAAGGCGATTTCATGGATGCCAAACTATGGGTCGTGCAAGACAAACAGCCTGTGCTGACTTCTGCGCACACTGGACTAGATCCTCGGATCGGATCGTCATGGGTTTTGCCGTTGCAATTAGAATTTGCCTTAAGGTCATAAAAGTATGGCCTGACTATTATAAGACGGTTTCATAGTCATGATTGTCATCAAGTGACCCGTGTCGGTCAGGCTTGAGAAGACTACGATGGAAGCCGCCAGTGTGTTTCTTTGTAACTCCAAGCTTCTGGGCATCCAACAAAGATGTTGCAGCATCCAATCGAGGTGATTCCAATAATACACAAAGATCCAAAGGTGCATAAATATGGCTCGGGGCTGTCACTGCTTTTGCTAGTGGGTGGATGAAAATCAGTGTAAAAGAACTTTAACAATGAAATAGAGAGTTGTGGATATCTGTCATCTACAAATGCATTAGTTGTGTTTCTTTACATAGTTTGAGCAAACCAAGCATTGCCTAAAACTCTTGATTTATTATGCGCTGGCTTATTTCGCTTAATGGTAAAGGGCCGAAGCATTCATTTTCGCGACAAAGGCTGTTTCTATTTTCGCTTTTTTCTCGACCACGGTAAAAACAGATCTCCGTCGCCTTGCCACCGAGAGCGAAATAATTAATTTTTCTTGCTCAGGGACAAGATATGCAAATTTTTCTTCCTACACATTCAGCTCTGTTAGTTATCACTACAGGTAAAGTAAACAAATTATTTTCTTCGGACTGCTAAGGAAGAATTACACAGGTGTGTACTACAAAATTCCTAGAGCAATTTTTAGTCTTTCCGCGTAGCGGGTCTAAAATTGACATCCCACATATAATGGTCACCAAAGTGCAGCATGTCAATAAGTTTACTGAATAAAACCTTAGAAGATTTTCGTAGCGTCCTCAGGATTATTCATTTTCTTTGTTGCTTTATGTCTTCTCTAAACTGTGAGTATGCACTGCACGTGTGCTATAGCCACAAATACATAAAAAATCAGTTTTTGCTGCAATTTTTTGATATGGACTGATTTCTGACTTATTGTCCCGCATTATGGAAAGCACTAGACATTTAAGACCATACACGCTTATCCTTACTTGGATTCCATGTGCTGATATTTGGTAGGATTAATAGGTATTTAACCTGCAGTACTTTGGAAACCAAGGTGAGATGACGATCGGAGCTCATTTATATATCACACCCATTAACACCTTCCGATCTATCCATCAAACTGAATAATATCAGATGAGTTAAATTAATACCGGAGACATCCTTTGATTGTCATTATCACAAGGTTCCGAGGAAGAAAACGGAGCGCTATTACTACTGTGAAAATTATGACTTGTCGTTTTTGGCAGTACATGCAATCGCCGATTCCAGGGCTTTTACTGTTTGAAGTCTGGGTCAAAATTCTGAATAATTTTGTCCAAACTTGTTAAAGTGCAGAAGACATCTTTTTACTTTCACTCACTTATGATGATATATGTTCGCTTAAAATGATACATTCAGGATGCACCGTATTCTTCCAATTAATACGCGCATTTTGCAAATGCGGATAAATAAAGCATCAAATGGAAAGGCACGTAAGAAAGGCTACTGAGTGGTGATAGTCTTTACTTGCACTTACTTGTGGAAGCCTTCTATTCAGAAATCCTAGTATACGTTAAGTTCAAATGCAGAAAACGCCACCCACTGAAGATAGAAACATAGTTCAGTCACTTTCGATTGCACCCTAGCGGTCTTGGTCGGCCTCTGAGAGACGTACTTATTCGGCTAGAGCACACCATTGATTTAATTAACATGCTTAGTTGAGTGCGCAGTGGCATCGTGTGGCACCGTTCAATACGTTTCCTAGTAAGCTTTTCATTCTAATGCAGAGGCGTAAAGACAATCGAGGAAACTTGGGATGCATGGCACTTTGCCGCTCAATTTCGGTCGTTTATGCCCGTGTTGAACGAGGTAAATGAGGCGTCCATTTCGCGTTACTGCCACAGAATTTTAATTTCAGGAGATATTCTAACAAGCATTGTGGTTACACCGTGGTCTTGCGCATCAAAAGAAAACTCCCACACATGCGCTGGAGATGTCAAGGTGCAGTTTCAAGGCCAGATTAATAATGCTTGCTTGAGACGGTTGCAGCCCCTTAGAAACAGTAACTACTCAACCATTAGGTTCCTCAGAAAAAAATCGAGGCACCGATTGTGAATTGCGATCAGGATGAGCAAGTCTAAAAGATCCTGTGAACGTCGGACGACAGGGCTGACCATCTTACACTTAGTTAATTAATTAGTTCGGACTCTCTGAAGTTAGCTGAGATGTGTGATCATTCTATACCAGTAAAACCTCAAATGTCTAATCCCCAGGCACCTGAGCACTTTTAGTTTTCTTGTCTTGCATACCTTCGTTCAGATGACGCTTTTTAAAGATACAGTACCTAGATAGTAGCCCCGATGACTAGCACAGAGTGTACTCTATTCACCATATGTCGTCTAAACGAGTCGGCGCTTTGACCGCATGAAGGGTCGCAATTTATCTAAGCACTTCGATTGCATCACATGTAATTGGGGACAAGATGGTAATGAGTGGGTGCGAAATGATTAGATAAGTCCTACATAGTGAGATTGTATGTTTCACACAAATATTTTTATCTTTTTGAGCGAGCAAAATATCTGACGTTACAATGAAACCTAATGACAGATAACCGGCATCGCTGAGTAGTGCCTCGTGTGGGAAGCACTCTGGTACTGTTCGTCAAAATGCCTCGATTCGAAGTCTTGTAAGGGATTGGCCTCAAAAGTCCGCAACGTTTCGAATTTCCCGCATTCTCTTAAATTTACTTTAGACCTCGACGACTGCCGCCACCATTCTTATTAAGATCGCTGTCAACCGAAAATCACGAAAAAATCTGGCTTTTCTGTTTTTACCAGTTGCTGTGTACCTCGACAGTCACACGGGCAATGTGCGTGGCAAAATCTCGAGCAGCCAGACGGCTGATGCATTTAAACATGTTTCGTAGAAATGCCCCGACAAGACGATGTGTTTGAATAGGGGAGAACCATTAATTGTTTACTTAGTGAGTACAAGTTAAAACTGCGAGAGGCAACACGCCTTCCTCCCAAGTGCAATGCTTATTTTGTAGTCTAAAGCAACCGTTGGAGAAATTGCTTCGCCACTTCGAGCTGTCTGCCAACACACGGGAAAATAAGGGCAATGGGAGCTCTTTAAAACACCGATGTACCAACCGGCAGATTTGATTCACTGACAAAGTTGGTTAGTGGGTAAACTTTAGCTACTGAAGAGAACAATTCTTGATCGAAAGCCCTTGTCCGAATTGGAAATCTGTAGGCATCTGTGCACGAGGGTTTCAGCAATTATACGGAAATTTTGCTTGTTCATAGATGCAACTAGTATAAGGACATTTCCAAGGCAGTTCTATTTGCAGACCCTGGACAACGCAGCTAAGCATCTCACAATTAGTGTCTCCAGGATCTCCTTTTCTGACTCCTGGATATTAGAGATTAGTGTGCAGACCTCTGTCTATAGGCCTTCTATGGGAAACGGAACCTGTGGCTTTACGTAGCCATAGTATTTTGGCTACCTGACTACCCAATAACATGAGGAACGGCGGCCAGTAAATTTTCCGAGTTCAAAGTTACCTTAAGCACATTTATGAATGAATTTCCTGTCGAGCGATCACTGCGTGCCAAGTCGACGGAAAAAGACATGTGGCGACAAATTAATTAGGTTTTACTGATGGTTGAGATATCTGTATGTGTGGTTTCCTAAAAACCATCCAGAAGTTTGTAGGGCAGAGACTTAACCAATAAAAAATGAAGACTAGAACCCCCATTTGTAGCATAATTGTGGCCAAGAGCTGCTTAATCCCGAAGTATGGAACATCTGGGGCTCGAACTCGCGACCTGTTAGTTAGAAGACCAACGCCTCTAACCACTGGGCCACGAACCACGGGAGGAGGAGGATGGTAGTGTGGGTTCTGGAGTGCGGTCAATACTACTTGTGGGCGTGGACAAGAAGACAGCAGCTGGTATAGTCCGAGTGCAGCAGTTGGCATGAAAATGCCCTACAATGCCGACTGGTGCCCGGAACGCCAGCCAGCATCTTATGCAGGTCGGGGGCGGTTGAGTGTTGGCGTTGCGGGGTGGGAGCAGTTGAGATTTGCGGGCCTCGAGGTTGGCTTTTGCGG